TAGATTCATGCATGTCTTCCAAAAAACCATTACATTAATAGCAGTAGCCTTCAGATACTTACATGGTAACTAAGTGAACATGTTGAAGGTGCTTTTTTCCCAGCTCTGCTCTGTGTACATGTAGAAAAGAAAAAAACGGTTCCACTAGCAAGAGTAAAGGTTTTAAGCCTGTTTGGAGAACCCAGTGGTGGGACCTCCAGAGCTCTCATCTAAGTTATTTCTTTTTGCATTGCTTTAGAGCTGCCTCTAAAGGAAGGAGAATACAGAGTGCATGAAATACCGATGCCAAAAAGGGGTATATAGCTGGACAGAAAGAGAAGGGCCTGTGCACCTGGGGGCATAAAGGTGCCTGAGGAGATTTGAGTCTTAGTCTCTCCCAACAGACTTTACCAGACTTGGTTATCAAGCAGCCAGTGGTCTTCCATGTTCCTCTTGGCACAGTCTACTAAAATAATGGCAGGACTTTTTTGTTTAAGCAACAGGCAACTCTCCTGTAATTTGCTTACATGAATACTGGTGACTCAATGGTTTTAAAACTTCAGAAGCCCTAATTAGTAGTGTATATGCTTTGCTCACTAATAAACTTCCTGTCCAGGAACATCCTTGGAAGTATAACAATTTTTATTTTTAAACATAAGAGTTGATATATTGATATTGATTCCATTCCTAACACATACACAAAAACCAGTAACTTACATAGGCACAAGTTTCTAGAGAATGCAATGGCTTTGGGTAGAAATATGAATACCCTCTTTTTTTTTTTTTTTTTTAAGAGAAAAAAAAAGGAACAAAACCAGTATCTGCAGATCATCAAGCTCAACAATTGAATATTTTCTTCTTCTTTCAATCCAGATTTAATTTGCACAATAAATTCTCAAAGCACTGTTACCTCCCATTCCAAAATGAATTATACAAGAAATAACAAAACCATTACCTAACAATACATTAGCAAAAGATGGATTAAAATATTGCTAAGAAAATAACCTATAGTATAGGAGTTTGATTCAAATTAAGTACCTGTGCATCTGATGATATGTGTGTGCTTAAGTGCTTTACTGAGTCAGAGCCAGGATGTTCATTAATTCGCTGGATTATGCTGCAAGATATAGGTAATGCTGCAGGAGTGGGAGACGGGTGTTTCCAGGAAATGTTCACATTGTTACTTAATGTTCACATTGATGCTATAGCCTTGTCCTGGGTTCAGCTACAGCAGTCATTTTCTTCTCATTTTTTCTCCTTCTTAGTAGCTGGTGCAGTGCTGTGTTTTTTGACTTTCAGCCTGGGAACAACGCTGATAACACCGATGTTTTTAGTTGTTGCTCAGTAATGTTTACTCTGACCAAGGACTTTCTCAGTCTCATGCTCTGCCAGGGAGGAGGGGAAGCCAGGAGGAAGCAGAGGCAGGACACCTGACCCAAACTGGCCAAAGGGGTATTCCATACCACAGCACGTCATGCCCAGTATAGAAACTGGGGAGAGTTACCTGGAAGGCCCAGATCGCTGCTCGGGTTGGGCTGGGTATCGGTCGGCGGGTGGTGAGCGGTTGTGTCCTCTCCCCTTGTTATTTCCCTTATCATTATTATTGGTAGCAGTAGTGGTTTGTATTATACCTTAGTTACTGGAGTGCTGTTATCTCAACCCATGGAAGTTACATTCCTCCGATTCTCCTCCCCATCCCTCCAGGAGTGGGGGAAGGAAGGGGTGGGGGGAAGTGAGTGAGCGGCTGCGTGGTTCCGGGTTGCCAGCTGGGCTTGAACCACAACAAGCCTAAACACAGCATACATAAGTAGAGAGTGCAAGAAACAGCACAGATAAGAAATACAGATACATTAGCAAGAGTATTTCAAGAATCACCAAATGACTAAGATTGGAAGGGACCTCTGGAGGTCATCTGCTCTAACCCCCTGCTCATGCAGGGCTACCTATGGCTTGTTGTCCAGAACCATGTTCAGATGGCTTTTAAGTATCTCCAAGGAGGGAGACTCCACAACCTCCCTGGGCACCTGTGCCAGTGCTTGGTCACCCTCACAGTAGTAAAGTGTTTCCTGACATTCAGAGAGAATCTCCATATTTCAGAGTGTGCTCATTGCCTCTGGTCCTGTCACTGGGAACCACTGGTATGAGCCTCGTTTTATTTTCTTTGCACCCTCCCTAAAGGTATTTATAGATATTGATAAGATCCCCCTGAGCCTTCGCCAGGCTGAACAACCTCAGCTCTCTCAGCCCTTCCTCACAGGAAAGATGCTTCAGCCCCTTCATCATCTTAGTGGCTTTCTGTTAGACTCTCGCCAGTCTGTCCACATCTCTTGTGCTAGGGAGCCCAGAACTGGACACCACTGCCACGTATGGCTTCACCAGTGCTGAGCAGAGAAGGATCACCTCCCTCCACTTGCTGGCAATGCTTTGTCTAATACAGTCTAGGATACCAGTTTGCAGGAAGGGCACATGGGCATGTGGTAGACAGTCTGGAGGTAAAACTCCCTTCAAGATTTGAGATGGATGTAGTACATCTCCCTTTCTCCAAGAGAAAACATAGTTGATTTATTTAAAATTACATTACTTATTACAAATTTAAGTTTGTGGAATTTCCTGCAAGATACTCAAGTCACTAATGAAGAGGAACAGCCTACATATGTAATTTATTGAGACAGCTTTCTGTACAGCAATGTGCTGATCTCTTCTGTATTCTTTTACGCCATTTAGAATTAGAGTCATCATCAGAGACATACAGTGACTATTCAAAGTAACCGACTTCTTAATCTGCCAAGAAAGAAGTTGGAACAGCCATTCCCAGAATATCAGTGGTCTAGCCTAGTGCATATGCCCTTTCATACAACCAGACCACACTGTGCCACAGCTTGGAAACCAGATCCTTCACTTTTCCTGTATCTATCAGCAACTTGAAATTTATGGGTAAAGGCTCTAGTGATTCCAAGGAATACCTTCTTTCTCAGTTTAAAAACTTTGAGAATTGCTAAAGTGCCAATTTTCTGTTTAAGACATCACTTTTTTTCATATTGTTTAACATACGCACATACATGACAATTTGTACTTCGATCTATTTGTACTTCTTTCTGAGGTTCCTATTAAAAACCCTGTTTTTAAGTTCTGATAACCAGTGTTGCTGTGGGTGGAAGAAAAATTCTCTGCTTCCTTTCTTTAAAAAGAGTCTTCAGTTCTAGAAACTGTATGTATTATGACAAACTACATAAATCTAAAATACCCATAGAAGAAAACACTAGATGAAAAAACATCTAGTGTTTCTTCATCGAAGACAAACACATTTGCTATTCAAATCCACTAAATTCTTGGTTGTTAGAAACTCCACCATGATGCAATGCTCACTCTGCAGCATTAAATGCTTGTTTATATGAAGATGAGGATGGAAAATGCAATGACAGTGGCACCAGGCACTGAGAAGATTTTCAAAGGAAGAGACAAAGTGATCAGGAATGAGTCACAACTGAAATGGAGAAATACATCAATGCTTGGAAGTCCTCTTCTAGGGGCACAAACAAAAGTATCTGTGTAGGGATCATTAGGAAATACACAGGCTTGTAAAGCAAACCAAGACAAGACTCAATATAATTTTAGAAGTCCAGTAATAATATAAAGAAAATCTCCAAATTAGCTACAGAAGGATATCTGACACAATCTCATGTAAAACACCAGTAGATTAATAGTTTGTATTTATTTTCAGAATCTTGCACGAATGTGGGCACCACCAATAGAAACCTGTGTTTTCCTCTTTCAAATGATACTACAACAAAGCCCAAGATAACTCCATACCATTTCCTAATACTGTTGCTATTCTTTCCCTGATGAATCATAACAAGAAATTGGAGAATGAAGAAAGGAAGAAAATATACCTATTAGCACTGATACTAAACTAATAATCATGTAATTAATGTTAGAAGTGTCAATTCTCCATCATCTCTGAATTCCTCTACAGGTGGGCGAGATGACAAAGTTGGTAATGATATACTGAGGCATGTTAGAAATTCAGGTATCCAAAAAATTGTCTATCTGGAGTGTGTTTTTTAGTAACAAAGAACCCAGAAAATTCCATCTGGTCAATTCTGAATTAGAGGCAAATAGTAGATGTGCTAACACAGCTACAATACTGGCCTGAACTATGTGCAGAGCTCAGCTGCATGTGACACATGCCACGCAGATATTCCCACATTTGATAATTCTGAACTCTTGGATGGCCTTGTTACCTTTAATAGAGTGACTCATATCTACGAATGTAAGGGCATGCACAAACACAGTTTCAGAATCAAAAGTCCAATTTTGAAGAAATTTAAAGAGCAGTAATTTTGCTAGACCTTGAACACAAGACCTTCTTACCAAAGCATTAGATTACAAACTGAAAAGTGGAACTCAGCATCTTAATACAGAAGGCAGATATTTTTCTTTATACCTTTTGCATGAGACATTTCTCTTATCCAAACAGTTTTCACAATCTTTGAAACTCAACGGTTTCACTGGGAGGGTTGAGGGGGGAAGGATGGGGGTGGAAAACAGGGGAAGTATCATTCTGCCTTTCAAAGGGTATCATGATTCTCAACTTCTTATCTGCCTGCTAATCTTAACTTTATTTGTGTCACTCTGGTTTCATATATCATCTCATTATTCCCTCAGTCTACATTACAGTAGCATCTACTCATCCACACTAGAATTCATATTAAAGCTATAGTTAGCATGAGATCTAGCCAACTAAAGAAATGAAACTGAAACCTTAGTATTATGCTAAATTACATTTAATTCTTCCTGCCATTTTTCAAAGTTCTCTCTTGTTGGATGGGAAAACTCAAAAATACACACAACGTAAGCTGCAGAAGGTAAGTCTCTTCCACAATAGGTTAAAATAAATCAGAGACCTTTATTTTCATACTTTACAGTGTCTCTTTAAACAGACTTTAAAATATGTATACACACCATAATCTCCCAATGTTTAACATAAGCCAAATCTGCATAAAATTTGCTTTCATACTTACCATTTTTTTCAGCTTTCTCCCTGCTATGGGAGTAGCCAGGAACTGAAGAAGAAAAAGGTGCAGCATCTACTGAAGACGGCCCAGGTTTCTGATTGTTCTCACTACGGTCCACAGCAGCAGCGTTTAGTTGGGACCTTCCACGATGCAGCTGGGGGTGAGAGGGACTTGAAGGGGGATCAGGATCTGAATTCATTTTAACTGCAAAAGAAGAGACTAATGATTAATTACCAGACAGGAAGGTTAAAATGTAAAATCAGCATATAAATTTAAATCTGAACATATTTGTATATATTCAAAAGCCTAGAAAAGGGCAAGATGATTGATAGCAACTTCAAGATTTATTTATACATTCTTCAATAATTCCAAGCATGAGCAGCTATTGTTAAGACAGACCATATATAGCATTGCACCAGAGGAGCAACTGCCTGTTTTCCTAACTAAATGAGAATTAATTTTCAAGTGTAGATAAATGCTAAAATTAATGAATCAATCCTATAAATACTGTATACATATAAAAACTTCTTTGCATCTGATATTCTACCTACACTTACAAGAAATAAAGACCAGTCCCTACCTTTTTTCAAAATGGCATTGATATGTCTGTAACAATAGAAAAGTTCACTTTGTACCAAGGGCCTGGTTAACAGCCTCATCAGGCAACAGGGAAAGAAAAAGATAAGGTGCCAGAGGAGGAGATGTAGAACTGCCACAGGAAATGAGGAAAGGGAGATCACCAAAGATGCTTTTTCTAGACATTTCCAATTGAAATACACATGATCTAAAATAAGCTGACTTTATTTACTACTATATTCCATTTTATTAAAAACAGCATTTACACACAAAGCCACTAAGGCAGGGAGGGAAAGGCCTTACAGTTTCCTCACAAGAGAACACCTTTTAACCTTCACCATAAGCCCTCTCCTAAACTTTGAGGGATCTCTGTTCTACAGTAGAAAGTTCTTTAAATAAGTAAACTTCCATAAAAGTGCTAACTGAAAGCTTCACTTCTACAAGACAGATAGTAGCAAGGCACGCATCTACTACCACAGTGTAACACAGAGTAACTCCTGATGCTTAAGAGCAACTTCCCTTGAGTTAAGTAATTTCTAAGGAACATTGTAGAACATGCCTGGCTATAAACCATACTTCTTAATTCTGTCTGTTCAGAATGCTGACCTAAAGATCTCATTGTAAAGATGGAAGCAGCATAGCCAAAACCAAGGATACACTACCTAACTCAGCCAACAACTTCTTCCACTTAAAAGACACTAAAATCACAACAAGATGCTTAAAGTACCAGAAATATTACTACTGGAAAATACATTCCTTGCAATTTAGACAACCCACTTGCCAAAATTAAGCTTCTCTAAACCAGAAATATTTTACTGATATAACTAAATGTACTTCTGTATTATGTTTCTACATCAAGTTATAAATAAATCAACATAGTTCAGTCCAACCTTCAAACAGCCCTAGGAAAACAGAGAGATTAAAATACTTTCCCAGTAAACCAGCGTGAGTATTTTTAACCATTAGACAATCACAAAAGTTACTGTGCCCCTGGTTTTAAACCTGACCGTGTCGCTTTGAGACAGACGAGCAGGAGCGGCCGGGCCGCGGCTCCACCGCCCGGGATGCGCCAGCACCCAGACACCGGCTCTCCTGGGGCGAACCGCGG